AAAAAGCTGTGAGCGCCAAACCTCTCTGTCTCAGTTGCAAGCGCTGCCCTGAGGCAACCAATGGACATGAATGGATCTGCCATGATTCTTCAACTAAACTCAACTGCAGGTTGGTGTTCCAAATCAATTGAAGATCCTGAATGAGCTACAAGTTCATCGGAGTCAAATCCTAGTGCTTAGTTCAACTCCTGTGTAACTGGACAAGCTCAGCCTCCATCAGGCCATAGGTGCGCAGCCCTCAGGGCTGTTGCCATTGCCCAGTGACATCGAGAGGTGGCTCAGTCCTTTCCCAAGACAGCCTTGGCTAGCAGAAATCCGAACTCACACGATCACAAGATTCGAGATTGCTGTATCTGCAAACACCACTTAGATGACAGTAGTGTTGCCATGGCCTACCTAGAGATGCGGAGACACTGCAAGCCAAGATGCATCCTTCAGGCTCTTGGAGTCACTCTTGCTGAAGGTGTCCCTGGCGATGGCCACGATAGAGATCGCGGTGAAGAAGAGCAGGTAGCCAAGATCGGCAGAGGTGCCGGAGGAGGGGTCCTCGTAGGTTGGAGTGATCCAGTCGGAGTCCAAGGTTTCGGCGTGAGCAGCAGAGGACACCCTTGGCGGAGTGTGATCTACACGATTCAACCATACAGAACAGTGCAATTCCTAGATGGCACCCGTACAGTACATTATCGCTGTGACACTTTTCGAGATCAACAGAGTGAGTTGGCTTAGCTTCTGACAGCATTGGAGCAAGGGCAGCGGCTGGGACCACCACACGGGGCACTTCCTTGGGACCAGCCAAGAAGGCCATGCTCTGGGACAGGAGCGCCACAGCAGCCGCTGCCACAATCATGATGGAAAGCACTGGGCGGGCCATTTCCGCAAAGCGCAAAGCACTGAACACTGCAGCGGGAGGCTAAGAATGTAGCGCAAACTGAAAGCCACATGTTGCAGTTTGAATGAGTCAGTGCACATAGAGTCACGGCCCACGGATATAAGGTAGCAACCACCATCATGGGTTTCAAACAATGCTCACATGTTGTAATGAGTATGCTAGCTA